TTTTTTTTTATTAAATATTGTTGGATTTCACACACGTGTAAAAGAAAAGCTAACTTTTTTGCACAAGATACGTTTGATACTTTTTCTCTATGTCTAAATGTTCACTCCTCGCAAGACTAACTTACATTTTACAATGCAGGGACTGTAACTAGAGATATGCTAGTCAGTCCTTCCAGAAAAACGCAGAGTTTTTTTGTGATTGTTGCGGGCAAAAAATCCTTGATTACGCGGCCCGTTTTCTTTAAAAATGCGATGGAATATGCGGGATATTTATGCAATTTTATGCGATGAAATTGCGGGAACTTGCAAAAATTGCGGAAACTTGCAAAAATTGCGGGAATTTGCAGTGAGTTATTATAAAAATGATTAGTAATAGCAGTAACATGCAATTTTTAAATGTATACTTTTATTAAGAAAAAATGTGCCTATTGGTTATGGGACACTTAACCAAAACGTTATTATTATTGGTTGTACATACTGTGTTTTTCTATCTCTAATAGAGCCCGACCGATAAAGGATTTTGAAGGCCGATACCGATACAAATATTTTGGGGTTTTAAAATCCGATATATCAGGCGATATTTTTTTTTTGTATTAAATATTGTTGGATTTCACACACGTGCAAAAGAAAAGCGAACTTTTCTGCACAAGATGCGTTTGATACTTTTTCTCTATGTCTAAATGTTCACTCCTCGCAAGACTAACTTACATTTTACAATGCAGGGACTGTAACTAGAGATATGCTAGTTATAAATACAGTAATCATTACTTTATTTAGGCTGAAAAAGTTCATTGTGGTTTCCAAGCTCATTAATGTTAACGTTAGCAGGCTTCCTCTGATGATAGTGGTATTAGCTAGCTTTGTGGTTAGCTAGTCTATGATGAGCCATAATTTAGAAATAGATAACATCACACTGCAAATTGTAAAACATACATTTTCAATATAACAGGCCAAGGAGATATGATTGAAGAGTGTTTCGTCTGTTTTTATTTTATTTTTTAAATATTCATTTATCGGCCATTTTAACTGCCGATACCGATATTTTGGAAAATACCTAATATCGGCCGATAATATCGGTCTGGCTCTAATAGTACTGGGTTTATGATGATGCTTCATAACTCACCATGTTTGGAGGTCTGGCTGTCGTGAGGTCATAAGAAGCTGTCTGTGGTAACACGAGCTTTCTCCCATCAGGACCAGAGAAGCAGGACGGGTCTCGTCTCACCGACACCGACACCTGCTGGCCGGTCTGGGGACCACCGTCTCTTACCTTCACAAAACACGTGGATTAGGTAAGGCAAAAAAATATAATCACACACATTTATATATATGTATATTTATACACTACCGGTCAAAAGTTTTAGATCAGTAAGATTTTTTATGTTTTTAAATGAAGTCTCTTCTGAAAAAAATAAGTTATCTGAACTAAATAAATGATTTAAGTTGATTTGACAAAAGAAAAAATTTTGTGATAACAAATCTTGAAAATATTTTTTTTACAGTGTGTCTTAACTATCGCTTTTCATCAATTTAATGCATCCTTGCTGAATAAAAGTATTAAATTGTTAAAAACACATATATTTTGTATATGTTAGTACCCGCGCTCTGTGGAGCAAAGCCTTATCCAGGAGTCGTTTGCGAGCCACTAGCACAGGATTGGCAGGTGAAGGTGTGTGTCGTCGTCTGACATAAGAAGCGCCGCTCATCGCTCCCGTCCCGACCCCCGAACGCGGCCCTTGGACCCCAGCATTCTGCGACCCCTGTGCCAACGAGGTCACGCTGACAATCCGGATGTCCTCGTCTTTCTCCCCGCCCGTAGCCTCCCTCCTCCCCGCCGGACCCGTCCCGGAAGACTGCCCTCCTCTCGCATCCGAGGAGGACCCGGCCTGTTGGGAAGCGGCGACTCTGGAAGCTTCTCTGAGGAGGTTCCTCAGCTGCTGATCGCTCCAGCCGACCCGGTGCGTCTCAGGGCCTGCTGTCGGCCCCGTGGGCCCGCTGTTCCTGCCGGCCCCGTCCTCCTTCCGAGCTCGGCCTTGAAACTCCTTCAGGAAAAGATAGATGGCCTGCGCAGACACCTTGATGTTCTCCAGCTCCAGCACGGCTTTGATCTTCCGGAAGCTTAAGCCCGCCTCCCGCAGCTCCACCACCTTGCGCTTGGCAGCGTCGTCCAGTCGGCCCATGCTGGACAACACGGTAACGGCACACTAAAAAGCGGGAGCCTGAAATTAATGCAAAAACATGGTTATGTTCGGAATGGAATATTACGTCCACAAATGTTTGTAGTCTTTAAGATTTGCTTGGTACAATAATAACAAATAAGGCTGTTAATGGCTGTTATTAACCCTCTGATGGTCCTCGGCCACTTCTGACCAAATAATTTTCTGTTTTGAATTATTAAAAATCACAGCTTTATCGGAAGGTTATGATACTTGGTGACTTTTTTGGCATTTGGTATGTGAATACAAAAAAAAAAATGAGGTCATGATCCGAGCATGCTAAGTGATCGTAAAAAAAATAGTCACACACTCGTCGACTTCGGTCAGAAATGACCGACCCATAGGAAATGAATGGGAAATTTACAAAAAAAAACAGAAATTCTCTGAATTTTTGTTTGTACAATCTACAAATCGGCCACGATTCTTAAAAGAAGTACACCGCAGTAAAGGGGTGACACTCTACAACATCAAGAGTGCAAAAAATTCACACACACATACAAACACACTTTTATACACGTACACACCAATTAATTCAGACTACAAAAAAATATGTTTTGAATTTTTAAAAATCACAGCTTCATCGGAGTGTTACGAAACTTGGTGACATTTCTGGCATTAGGTATGTGAACACACGAAAAATGAGTTCATGATCCGAGCATGCTAAGTGGTCGTAAAAAAATGAGTCACGATTTTGGTCTTTGGTCAAAAATTGACCCCTATAGGAAATGAATGGGAAATTGACAAAAACACAAAAATTCACAAATTTTTATTTATTTTTTTTTTTTTTTACATTTTTTTTTAATAAATAGTTTTTGAGATTGTTTCAATTATATATATTCAAATCTATCAAAAAAAAAAAAAATAATGTGTTCATAAACAGATGGGGAATTCACATGCCTCTCAATAGAGAGCTGTACATGCCATCTAGTGGTTACACCATGATTCTACGCTTTTTCTCTATACTGTAACCAGATGCTGCTAATTTTCTTCAAAAAAATTTTTTTTTTCTGAAGGCCTAGACTCTATGTTAAACAAAAGTACTGCATTAATAATTTAAAAATAATTATATATATATATATATATATCCATTGAAAAAATAGACCATAAATATTGCATAAATATTAATAAATTCAATCAAATTGTCTCAAAATACGAAATTAAAAAGAATAAATATTATACAACAAAAATAAATTGCATTGGTTTTACTGGGATGGAAGAAGTTTCATTTTTAGGCCTCCGGTCACTTCTGACCAGGAAGGCCCAGGACGTGACTCAAAGGAAGACCATCAGAGGGTTAAAAGGATTTAGCATTAAGCTTTGTATTAGTAGAAAACCTGTAGTATTTTCGAATTACCACCCTCATATCCCCCTGAGACAAGAGATTTATGTATTTTTTGTCTGGAAAAAATCCTCTGATGATGCAAAAGGAGCTAAAGATTACAGTCATGTTCTAAACCCGCCCATAGAGGGCGATCTCACTCGCAGAATGAACACATACACATGCCATTTAATATGTTCTATGTGCATTTCCTTATATTCATAGTAATTAGATTAAATGCACGAGGCTACATTGATGGACCAAAGATCTATTAACCCTTATCTGTGTATTATGTGTATGACCTTATACGTGTCTTGACAAAAAAGTAATGTGTGACTAATGTATGACTGAGACAAAGGGCCTTTTACACATTTAGCAATTGGATGCAATGATGTGTTAGTGTTGGGACATGTTTTTAAAGGGATACTCCACTTTTTTTTTTTGGAAATAGGCTCATTTTACCACTCCCAAGAGTTAAACGGTTGAGTTTTACCGTTTTCAAATCCATTCAGCCGATTTTATGATATTTAGAAGAATATCAGTAACCAGACAGTTTCTGGTCTCATTGACTTCCATAGTATGAAAAAAATATACTATGGAAGTCAATGAGACCAGAAACTGTCTGGTTACTGATATTCTTCTAAATATCAAAATATCGTCTGAATACTTTAGAAAACGGTAAAACCCAACAGTTTAACTCTGGGGGAGTGGTAAAATGAGCCTATTTCCAAAAAAACGTGGAGTATCCCTTTAATGATGACATAGAGGTAGTCAACTATAAAGAAGAAAGGACACCCTCCATTCTCCGTCACACTCTACAGGCACTCGACTGTTTCTTGCAAGAAAATAAATAACCTTTATAGACAATTGGTATATTCGTGTCTCTTATTCAGTGACGTAAAATTGTTTGCCAAAACATACACATTTGGTTGTATTGAATGTCAGTTTTGTTTCTTTTGAAATTAATAAAGAATGAAAGACTACTATACTTTGCACTGTATACTTAAAAATATATGGAATAGCAAGTACTATTTCCAAAATAATGTTTCAGACAGTGACGTTATCAATGTTTAGCTCGTCTGCCAGTCTAATAAGTGCCCTTTAACCCTGGAATTGGAAAACAAGCACAACACACCAGCATGAGCAGCTGAACACCTTGCTAAAAAGGTTTAGCCTAGCTGTGGTTTTCCAAACACCACCAAGTACAGATCCCTGCGTGTGGCTCTAGTGCACTCAGAACACAATAGAAATCAAACATCTCTCACCTACTGCGACTTTGATGGTCAGTTATGTATGTTTGAAGCGACGATATGCCCCATTATGAAGTCACATGACGACGCTCGCATCCATGTCCGTAACGTGCGTCTGATATTGTCAACACAACAACAGTAAGTATCGATGAAACGCACACATTTGTGTTTTTACTTTATGATTATTGCATTCACACACGCCCCGCCTCCTTCAGACTGTCGCGGAGATAGCGTCATCACGTCTGCGCCCTCACGCACACGTCTTTAGGACGCGACAGCTGTTGAGCTCGGCGTTGAATGTGTCGCGCTCTGCTCATTTATCATGTAAGTGTGAATGTTTATTATATTCAATATTTATCACTTGCGACTGATTTTGTGTCTCGTAAATGTGGTTGTGTGTACGTAGAAAGATATTAAACGCGTTTTTTATCATTAATCGGCGATATTTTGCATACGTTTGGTTAATATCGGCGGGGTTAGCATTAGCTCACCGCGCTGAATGAAGATAATCAATGAACGTAATTGTTTTTAAAAACAAAGCCTCAATTGTTTAGGATTTGTGTTATATTTTTGTAATAAAATAACTTGTCTTATACTTTTAAGACAGGAGTTTTCAGTGCGTTTGTACATTTCCATGTATTTCATGCTAACGTAATGTTTTTGAGCATCACTTTCTACTTGAATTGAACATATTTGTTTCTCTTCTAAGCAATCTAATGATAATTATAGTGAAATAATCTTAAACTAACTTTTGATCTGAAGAATAAAATCCCGACATTATGTATAAAATGCATAAAATACAACTGTCAGTAATAAAATATAAAGCATTTTAAATAATTTACAAACATAAAAGTTTTGATGACTAAAAATTAGATATGAGGGTCATAATGATGTTCAGTAATTAAATCAGTAAGATGTTGTAATGTTCACAATTTTCTCAATTTGTTGTCTTATGAACTTTCTTGAAGAGCTTGTCGTGATTAATATTAATAATCGTTTCCATCATATTTCGGTCAGTGATAAGGGAGTTTTAAACTGTTAATACACCCAAAAATGAAAATTCTGTCATTAATTGTAAATCCAAACCCCGTCAGACTTGTGTTCATCTTCAAAACACAAATGAAGATGTTTTGAATGAAATCTGAGTTTTCTGTCCCTCCAATTACAGCAACGCAACTATCACTTTCAAGCCCCAGCAAGACAGTAACGACAAGGCATCACTAAAGTAATTAATGTGACAGTCCAGTGGTTTAACCTCATGTTTATAAAGCAACGTGACTGCACACACACACACACACAAAAACATAATTTATCACTTTATTTACAACATATCAATCTCCAACGCACGTTCATGGATCAATGTATGCTCTCGCATCAACAGAACAGATGCTGATCTCATGAATGCGCTTCAGAGATTAATATTTTGTAAATAAAGTGATAAATTATGTTGTTTTTTTTGCACTTGCGTCACTTCATAAAACTGAAGAAAATCTATGGAGTCAACATGATTATTTTCCAACCTTTCTTGGACTTGAAACTAAAGTGGTAGTTGTGTTGCTGTCAACGGAGGGACAAACTCAATTTCATCATAAAGATCTTAATTTGTGTCCTGAAGATGAACCAAAGTCTTACGGGTTTGCGTCGCCATAAGGTTGAGTAAACGATAAATGATTTTTGGGTGAACTATCCCTTTAAGAACGTCTTCATTGTATATTTGCTACCAATGTCCCCTATATACAGTAGTATTATTAAATAAGCATCCCTCCCCCTCCAGCTATACGCTTTTAATATCATGTGCAAAAAGGTGTGATATGCAATGAAAAACACATTCAAGCTCTGAACCGAGTTAAACTGCATTACGTTATTGTGACTGCGACAGCTCCCTGGTTTATGAGATGGAAAAATAATAGTTTATCAGCATTGTTCCGATTGTTTTTCTTTCTTCGTTCAGGGCACCATCACCAACCAAGCGCAGGGAGCGTTCAGAGGACAAACCCAGGGAACGAGGGAAGGAGAAGCCTGCTGGGAAAGAGGGAGCGGAGAAGGAGAAGGATAAGGAGAGAGGCAGAGACAAGATCCGGAAGCGGCGCAGTAACTCCACCGGGAGCAGCAGCAGCAGGTCAATAACTCTTAATGTCATTACAAGGAGATTTAGGCAATATTCATATCAAACTATGACACAATACGTAATCATAATTGCAGAAAATGTAATTGAGCTGCTTTAAATAGCAATAAACGGGCGTGTAAACACTTGCATATGTTCCACTTTGACCAAAGCGGATGATGATGATGTAATGCGACTCATGCGCAGGTGTAAACTAGAGCCAGACCGATATTATCGGCCGATATTAGGCATTTTCTAAAATATCGGTATCGCAAGTTATAATGGCTGATAAATTAGTATTTCATAAATAAAATAAAAGCGGACGAATCACGCTTCAACCATGTCATGAGTGTTGGAGTTGTATAGTTTGTCCACCAGAGGGCACTCTACACTGTCCCTGTCATGTATAACGCTCCACACATCCTGCAACCTGCTGAACCCAGCCAGAGAGAACCAGTTATAGTCATATTATTTTAGTTAAAACTCATAATTAACTACAAGGGAAATCTGTTAATATTTTGTTGCGTTTCTAAAATAAAAAAAAAATAATAATATCGGCCGATATATCGGATTTTAAAACCAACATTTGTATCGGCATCGGCCTTCAAAATCGGTCGGGCTCTACAGTGATAAAGGAGGAATCACGTTTTTAGGCTTCTGAAGAAACTGATTTCACGTCGATAGCGTTGTGCTTCATGAATATAACGTTGTGTTAATGATGGGCGAACACAGAAATGAAGAGAAAAGATCCAATATATCCATAGAAATGTTTTGCAATTCACTTAAGCATCCTTGCATCTATAGATTAAATCACGCCTACTGTGTGTGAATTGACGTATGTGAATAAAACAATCACAATTATTAGTAAATAATCAGAAAAATGGAAATTGCATGTGAAGAGAAGTGTATAATCTTACTGCGATTTAAATCCTCACTCTTATTATTGGAAATAGTCACATTTTATGAAACATTGATCATTGATTAAGGTTAACCCTTTAATCCCTTAAGGCGTTTAGTTTAGAGTTGTTGTTTTCTGAGTGACACACACTAAAGGTGTGAGAGTTAAAAGGTAGGTATACTATTGTTTGATGGAAAGCTTTTTACATTTTTAAAATGACATTTGGATTTTCTTATGCTTAGAAATGGCTAATAAAAGACAAATATTTTTTAATTTTAATTTTGCATATCTTTCTTATTTGACATGCAATAACTCAGGAAGGAAAAAAGGTAGGAGGACAATTCTCTCTTTTTTTGGTGAAGTTCCCCTTCATCTGGATCAAATGTTGTTGTGATTATAAAGTAATCAAAAGTTACAGAACCAAAGTACCCTTTTGTTCATAGCCCTTGACACCCGGAAGGCATTTCTAAATTTATGTTTGCCTTCTGTGAGGAATATCCTGTGATCGAAGCAATTAATTTGACTCAGGAGAATCCACTTAGTAATGATGTCATTTTCTGCAATCAATGCATATTTAATGAAGCTACATTTGATTTTACTTGGCTACTTGTGGAGTTGTTTTAACTTCATGAGAGAACATCTTTAGATCCAAATGATGGGTTATGGTGAGTTTGGGCTGTGCAGTTTTCACACACCGAGCATGTTTCGTGAAGGTTTATCGGGTTAAATGTGTGTGACTTCAGATCCAGGTCCAGTTCCAGCTCCAGCAGCAGCTCTGGGTCCAGTTCGGGATCGTCCAGTGGGTCCAGCTCCTCTTCTGGTTCCAGCCGCTCCGGTTCCTCCAGTTCCTCTCGTTCCTCTAGTTCATCCGGGTCCTCTGGCTCTCCCAGTCCAGGCCGCCGTCGCCATGACAACCGGCGCCGCTCACGGTCAAAGTAGGTTCTTGGCTTTGTTGTGATATTAAATAATGCCCCGGTTGTGCCGTTGTCACTAACTGAACGTGGGTTTGCGCTTTTAACCAGGTCCAAATCACAAAAACGGACCGATGAGAAAGAGAGGAAGAGGAGGAGCCCGAGCCCCAAACCCACCAAACTTTATCTGGGAAGACTCACCAGGAACGTAACCAAGGTACACTTGAAGAGTGCTGCACGATTAATCGTTAAAAGATCATAATCTCTTATTCCTAAATGACAATGTGACTTAATGTCTGTTTAACATGCGTGACCAGTGTCACTTAATGTTAATGAATGAGAGGATCTGAACGCTCTCATTAAAGGGTTAGTTCACCCAAAAATGAAAATTCTGTCAGTATTTACGGAACACAAATTAAGATATTTAAGATATTAAGATCGCTCCTGCATACAGTCCATAGGCTTCTTGAGGGAATGACTCTTGCTGTCCCAGAAAAGTCATTAAAGACATCGTTAAAATAGTCCAAGTGACTACAGGGGCTCAATCTTAAGTTTATCAAACGACGAGAACACTTTTGTGCGCAAAAAACAACAAAAATAACGACTTTATTTCAACTATTGGTTTATTTCTCCCTCTGCGCGAGTCAGGTTACTAGTTTAATAGCGTAAGCTTCTGTTATTGTACGTCACACGCATCACACACACATGACCAGCGTCGGCCAATAGTGAGCCTACGTGTGACGTAGCTCTACGCAATCACACTACGTTAACTGACTACAGGCCCATGGAGAAGGAAGTGAATAGTTGAAATAAAGTCGTTATTTTTGTTGTTTTTTTGCGCACAAAAGTGTTCTGGTCGTTTGATAAACTTAAGATTGAGCCCCTGTAGTCACTTGGACTATTTTAACGATGTCTTTAATGACTTTTCGAGGACAGCAAGAGGCAGTCCCTCAAGAAGCCTATGGACTGTATGCAGGAGCGATCTTAATATCTTAAATATCTTAATTTGTGTTCCGAAGATGAACGAAGGTCTTACGGGGTTGAAACAACATGAGGGTGAGTAAATACTGACAGAATTGACATTTTTGGGTGAACTAACCCTTTAAATATGGCAGCGACAAAACTTGTGCTGCTAAAGCTTGAGATGTGAAACCGTTTAAACTTTAACCGTTGAAACTACAATCATCACACTTCAACATTTATATCTGCGTTAGCGCTGAATCGGAGAGAGGTGAGAGACGTTTCTGGTGAGAGAACAGTGACCGTGTAAATGTACTGTATGAAACGGCGTCTTTTCAACCACACATTATCGTTATTTGTGTTCTAGACATTTAAATAAGTGGATAAAAGTTTATAGTTTAGGTATAAACGCAGATGACTGTGGTGGTGATCAGAATAAGAGTATTGTATTGCTTCTATTACGCCAGGAGGTGGCGACAAGTGAGTGTTTAAAAGAAATGTTTGTCACTGAGTTTAAGATTTATTCACAAACGCTGATCCATCCAATAATGAAACGAGACATTGACTACATTCAAATAATTTTTTTAAATTATTTGATTCAAATTTATATATTTTTTTTTAAAGAATGAATTTTCATAACCTCTAGTTTGCATGTTACTTTGTTTAGTTGTCGTCTTTAATTTTTTTTATTAGATATAGATTCAGATTATCAAGTTGCATCTTTAAATGTAATTTACATTTTTACATTACATACATTACATTTGTAATTTGCATGTTTTTTAAAGGCGGTTTTCTCAAAAATGATCTGGAGACACTGTTTTCTGATTAATGGAGTGATATCCCAAAAACCTGAACAAATTTAAACATGAATTTTGAAGCTGAATCCACTGTTCAGATTTCTAAAACTTATGCAAATTGAATTGATTACATTTGCATATTTAAACATTTCAGAAAACCTTTTCAGGGATTTAACAGCAGCATTAAGTATTCAAGACATTCAGAAATTGAAGGGAAAAAAAAGAATAAAAGCAATTAATATTGTGTAATTTAAGTTTTCATATATATATATATATATATATATATATATATATATATTACAGAAAGTATGAAAATGATCACATACAATTTTTCTGATCTATCTAAATGTTTTTAAGTGTTTAATATAGATGTGTTTTCCTGAAAATTGCTACTCCTGTAATGCTTTGTGCTTCTGTGCTTGATTTCCTATAGGAACATATTCAGGAGATCTTCTCAACGTATGGCAAGATCAAGATGATTGACATGCCTCCCGACCGTCTGCACCCTAATTTGTCAAAGGGTTACGCTTATGTGGAGTATGAGTCTCCAGAGGACGCACAGAAAGCCCTGAAACACATGGACGGAGGTAAAAAAGCAACTCAATTGCGTCATTATCGTTAACTAAAACCATAAAACACTTTTGTAAATAAAATAAGTCAACTTATGGTAACACTTTTCAATAAAGTCCTGTTAGCATTAGTTAAAGGTACAGTAAGCAATTTCTGAGAAACGCTGTTAAACGTGGAATTGGATCGAGCAGCACAGCACACTTGTAGCCAATCGGCAGTAGGGGGCGTGTCCTCATGATGGGGGAGGAGAGGGAGATCTGAAGAAGAGAGATGGCTGAGAGACATTACAAAAGAGGAAAGCTCAGAAGGAATATTACTGGAAGAAAATGGTTATATAATTATTTTTCAGAAAGTTGCCAAAAACTTAACCCTTGTGCATCAATTAAAAAAAGTTACACAGGTAAAAAGAAGACAAAAATGTCCATGTCAAAAAACTGTCATAAAAATTTGACGCTTTGGAGCACAGACTTAAGTTTGGTATCATTTTAAAGAAGACCCTTTGCAGATTATTGCTGAAGTAAAAAAATAATAAGTAAATACAAAAAAAATATAAAATTTTATATAAAATATATATTTTATAAATCAGGTTGAACTCAAAACTGAAATAAAATCAAAGCCATAAATCTAAATAGGTTGTGTTCCAAATTTGAGGATGATATCTCAAAAAATGAGCTTTTGGTAAGAGTTTGTTTGGGCGTAGTAACATATTTTCCCCATTGGGTGGCAGCAAAACCCCACTGGTGCTCACAGTGATTGGATTTGTTATTTGCGGTTTTTCTCTCTCAGTATTACAAACACACACATATTTTTTTATAACACACATACTAACCACACTCTGACATCCATACCAACACACCCACACAAATATTGTTGCATAATTTATCCAGTTGGCTCTTTAGTATGCCGAACCAGAAAACAGGAATAAAGCGATATTTGTTTTATAGGCCAAACTTAAAAAAAAAATGGCACCATCTGATAAAAAAATAGTAAAAAATTAAATTTTGAAGCCTTGTCATCAGAATGAAAGCCTCTTAACTAAGATTGCATAATTTTATAGTTAACTGAACCGGGGATTAAAAATGGCAGTTTTAATGGGTTTCAATGGGGACATTTTTGTCCAAAAGGTGCTGAGAGGGAGTATTTTTTGTACCTAATGCAAAAAATATTTTTTTAAGAAAATGACGGTGCAATAGTAAAATTCCAATAAAAATACAAGTTTTTTGCAGTTAGCTTTAACACAGGCAAAGTGATCAAAAAAACAAAACTAAAAAGGACAAAAATGTCCATAAGGATGCACAAGGGTTAAAGTACTAAAATAAATGAATAAAACTGAAATATAAATAAGAGCTTGATGGCAAATGCAAAAAACAAAATGTGTTTGTTCGAAGTGTTTCTCAGAGTCTGCCGTTTTCCTCAGGTCAGATCGACGGTCAGGAAATCACCGCCACTGCTGTCCTGCCCCAGAGGATTCGCCCCCCCATGAGAAGACCGTCCCCCCCGCGCCGGATGCCTCCTCCGCCGCCCATGTGGCGCCGCACGCCGCCTCGCATGAGGAGAAGGTGGGCTTTTACACTGTTTCAGTCTGTGCAGGTCGATGGGAACCAATCTACCTGGCCTAAATGTAATTTTAGTCCACACTTCGCACCTGTTTCCAATGTCCGATCTGTCCTTTCACCTCACGTTTCTGTTGTTTTCCTGGCTTTCTGTGTCTTTATCAGGTAATAAGCGCACACACGTCTGTGATTTATCTTTGCCGAAGCTGACAGTTTGTTCTCTACACAGGTCTCGCTCTCCTCGGCGACGCTCCCCGGTGAGAAGACGCTCTCGCTCCAGGTCTCCGGGTCGCAGACGACATCGCTCCCGCTCCAGTTCCAACTCGTCCCGTTAGCCGGCGCTCCATTCTCACCAGTGGCTTCTCCTGTCAGCCCTTTCATTCATTTTTTTAGCTGGAGATGACAAAGAAAGTGTCTGGTTTTATTTCCTTTTCTCTAGTACCCCTCAGGATTGTACGTAAAAGCCCAGTCTTATAACATCATCAGTGGATGTGCTTGGTTTTTTTTATTGCCTCTGTGTTCGTACTCTCACTGGGATCGTGCTAGATGCTTCATTTTACTGTGACTCGTTTTGTAATGTGCTGTACTTTTTGTTTTCTATTTTTGAGAGACTCCGCTTTTTACCGGTTTATGTTGTGTGATTAAAATGCATGAACTTTTGTATTCAAATGTTTGCATTTTTCATGGAATCGTTTCTGTTAGTGACATTAGCGACCTCTCTCGACATCACCACCTAATCCTGTAAAATCTGATGATCTGTAAGATTGAAAACAGAAAAATCAATAAAGCAGTTTAACAAGTAAAGTCATCATTTATGTTGTCCTATTCAAATCTGTGACTACTTTTTTTTATTAGATGTTTTCCTAAGTCTTTAGTTATTTTATACTTGTAAAACCTGAACAGTTTATTGAAGCTATAGACAAAATCTAAAATCATCAGAGTTTTAGCTCTCATAGGATATGGATTCTGAGAATATGGAACTCATTATCTATACTTAAACTAAGCAAAAATATGCAATTATGTCCAAATAATAAGATAATAATAAGAATTCTGTAAATCAATTAAGTTTTTATGACAGAATAGCAAAGTACTTGCATAAAATGCATTAAAATAATACCAGTTGTCACTCAATCTTTAAAATTTATGCATTAAATCCAGCATAAACTCCGGTGTTCTGTCGATTTTTGCTGCCTTGTCGAAAAATGCTACCGTAGCGCGAATTGATCACAGAATGCCGATTAAAGTCGTATGAAATACAATTATAATACAATTCTAAGTTATGAGTAGCTACTGTATACTGTAGACTACTGTTTTTATTTTAAAAACGGTGTGAAAAGTAAAAATGATCATAAAATATTCATCTTTGACTTGTCACAGTACACCTTTCCTCATAGTAACTGAAACTTTCAGTTATTCTTTTTCAGCTGGCTGACCGTACAAATATTCATATGGTAGTAAGCATTTTTAAAGGGAGAATACATTATAACAGGAAAATGTACCTTTTGTAAAAAAAAAAAAAAAAAAAAACTGTGAGTCTGCACATGCGCATAACCGGTAAGTAGCAAATCTCGATGGGTAGCACCGGCACAATCTGCATATTTTTAAACTCAAGACAGACATCACATCCTGATCCTCACAGTATAGCTGCCAACTGTGTTTCTCGCTTGATTTTTGCAAAAAGTCAAGAATTTATCAATCATTTGACACTCGTCCTCTTCCAACGCTTTTTCTGGTCCGCTTTCAATCCCACAATGCACTGCGCGCTCGACGGAATTAATTGAAAACACTTGCTCGCTCCGTGCAGTGGACACACACCGTTAGGCCATGCAGAGTTTTACAAAACAAACAGCATTCATCGTTTAAAGTCCCACCTGAACCAAATCATTAGCTTATGCTGCATTCACACCATGTCTTAACTGTAATTAAGAGATGGGAACCCGACGATGAAGTTCTCCTCAGAGTGCTTCACGTCCTCAGAGTCGGGAAATGTACGTTTCCATGGCAACACTATCAGCCGAAATGAACCTGCAGCAGTCAGTGCTACAAGTAAGAGCTCCAAGTTGTATGTTCATTATTATTTTAATGCTTTGAGACATGGGCTAGTTGTTTAACGCCGTCTGTCGTGATGCTTTTACATGTTGTAGCTACGCGTTCACCATTTCACAAGATGTAAACAACACTGGTCCAGAAGCACTTCCTGTTTCAGTTTTTTAACACTACATAAAAGCTGGGATAAAATACAACCAACAGAACATTTAAAACTGAATCAAAAAGTTAAACAAACATCTTTAAGATGTTTTCTTTACATGTGAAATAAAGAAAACAGTTACAAACTGAAACAGGAAGTGCTTCTGGACCAGTGTTGTTTACATCTTGTGAAATGGTCTATAGCTTTAGGGAGCGCTGTGAAGAAGGTGGGATCTCATGCTAGCCTATTGCTAGCCTCTCTGAAATACTTTGAGTCTCCCAAGTTTTCCAGTGCCGTAAAAATAAGCGTGAAGGCCTGAAAAAGGACGCAGAGTTGTTTCTGCTCCACAATTGGTTTTGCTGTTTCACTAGTAACCGAGTCCAAGATAAGCTGTAATGTTAGCTCTAGTAACACAGGACAGTTTTGAGTTTCATTGTTTGTCTGGAGGTGGTCTGCTGATTGCGACTAACATATCTTGCTTGTATAACTAACGTTAAATCTTGTGTAACTTACTGTATGTTCAATTTATTCCTTGCCATTCATTGGTCTTCTTTGCTTTATGTACCCTTTTCACATTTCCAGGGTTCACAGATGCACAATTTAAATCGTAAGTGAATCGTAGACGACAGCGAATATAATTTTTTATTTGCATCTAATATCAAAGAAAAAAATCTACAATACAGTGGACAGAGAGATAGAGAAAAATAGCCTATCAAATTCGCTGTGACTTCCTGAAAAATCAGGAAAAAAAAACACCCTCACAGCAGCATTAATCTTTTTATTTTATTTTATTTTTTGTCATTTTCTGCCAATTTGTATTGCTTTTTTAAAAAAAAAGAAATATTTTAGTGCTGGGCAACGATTTATCGCGATTAATCGCATCCAAAATAAGAGTTTGTGTTTACATAATACATGTGTGTGTATAATTATTTTGTATATATAAATACACTCACATGCATGTATATATTTAAGAAATATGCATGTTTACATTGTTTTTGTATTTATACAAAATGTATATTATATATAAATATTAATATTTTATATATAACACATTTTTCTTAAATATATGTGTGTGTGTATTTATATAAACAAAATAATTATACGCAGCATTATGTAAACACAAACTTTTATTTTGGATGCGATTAATTGTTGCCCAGCTCTGATTTTAAAAAGTGTTCATTTTCCTTCATGTTTGTGCATTTTTGGGGCGGAGCAATTAAGGGAGGGGTGTGTTTATATGGGTTGATTTGAAATATCAAGTGTTTCTACTCAGAAATCATTTACTGCACCTTTAAATACAGTTTTATGATCAGAGCTCTGTAGAGTTTAAAAATAAAATGCAGAGCAATACAATTACGATTGAGAGATAAACAAATTAACATTCCTCAAAAGCCTCATATTTATGATTAGCATGGCATACATTATAGAGCCCGACCGATAAAGGATTTTGAAGGCCGATACAAATATTTTTGGGTTTTAAAATCCGATATTCTGATATATCGGCCGATATTTTATTTATTTATTTATTTATTTTTTATTTTTTTTAAACTGGACATGATAGTCACAAATGTTGTCATGCTTATTTGAGGTAAGAGAACTGATGGGGATGTTCTTTTAATTGTTATTCAAGCAATGTATCGTGACCAACTCAACGAGTGTTGCCAACAGGAACGGTGTAGAGTGCCCTCTGGTGGACAAACTATACAACTCCAACACTCATGACATGGTTCAAGCGTGTTTCGTCCGTTTTTATTTAATTTTTTAGAATTTTTATTTTTCATTTATCGGCCATTATAACTGCCGATACCGATAGTTTGGAAAATGCGCAATATCGGCCGATAATATCGGTCTGCCGATATATCGGTCTGGCTCCAATACATTATAAAGACGTGTATCATAACCTGGAGGTGGATGTTTTACAATTATACTAAAAGGCCTTTTACTTGCTAAAAAAGTATCAGTCATACGACAGTGTAGCCGAGTAGATTGTGTGCAACAGGTATTTTGTTAATTATTTGGAAATTTGTGTATTTACAGCTCAAAACAAATGTCAAAACAAAAGATCCACACGCCATTGAGCTGAACGGGAGCGTTGACAGCTTATTTAAGAAGCGGACGGGGTAAATATGTAAATTTCATGCTAATACACCTCAAAAATAATTGACATTTGTGCAATACGCGCTGAAGCTAAGCAGGCAAACCTTTGAACGGGCTGCTCAGCTGTGTTTCTGTACCACTTCATTATATTCATCCATTAACATGGACATTAAAACAGCACTTTATCAGCGGCCGATCCCCGGGGCGGACAAGCCCAGACGCTCCCGTGTGGAAATGAGCTTCTGTACCTGTGGCCGGCTGGAGATTGACTCATGTGTGTCATGGGTAATGAGGCATGTTGGATGACAAGTTCGTGGCTGTCAGGCACAATAAACAATAAATAGCAGTGAAAATTGGCCCTGGACAAAAGGCACATCCTTCTCGGCTGCAGATGAGGTTGCATGTGATGGATTGTGATTCACATGACATTGAGTTTGCTTGTGCATCGGTTTTTATGTACTAATTACTTAGAGCTACTTAAGCGCCGTGCCCAAGAGTACTGTTATTATTGATCAAGAACACGATCTCGCCAAAACTGTCCAGGCCATATTTCACCTCATAATCAATAAAAGAGGAAAAAATGAGTCTTTTTAGCACCATTAAGATTTTGCTGAATCTGTTGAAGGATTGATTGATTGACAAGATACTGAAAAAAAATCATTTTTTTCCCTTCAATTTTTGAAATGCAAAATGTGTCTCCAAACAAAGTCAAATTAACTTCAAAAGGTGGGTAAAAGGTGATACATTTTTAATGATTATTGTGTTCAAGAAAATATACATCAGAGTAACTTGCATGCCATTTTCCATAACATTCAGTACATTCACTTAAAAATCACAAATACATTCACTTGGCCTACACATAAAGATTTATTCACGGCTGAACAGCCAAACATCTCATTGAAAAATGTCAAAAGATATTGGATACAATGCAATTATGCTCCATATTTGATCACAGACATTCATTCTCGTACACGTATTAAAGGTTAACAGCCTCAATGACTTATATATTTAAAGAAAATTAGATGTACAATATTCTGTTGTTCAGGTATGAGCTCAAAAATAAACATTTATATTTTGCCTATAAAGATTTAAAGGATCTGGAAACATGTTTCTTACCCCCTTATTTGTTATTTTTTTGCATGAAGGCTGATCGTGGCTTTACATGATCTGTCATGTCCATACATTGGCAGTAATATAAATATAAAAGCTTCATGATTGTTCAAATTCTGGACATGAGCACATATATTAATTCATCTTTTTTTTGCTTCTTTTTTTTTTTGCAATTTTTTAGGAGACTTTTCCATAAATACATAAATGCTCCCTTAATGTAAATAATGTGTGCATGGGAAAAAGTTGATTGTTGCTTTATTAAAACACTTCTAAGGTGAAAAAAGATGGCAAATATTGTAGAAACAAACAAATAAATAAGAAATAATAAAGATCAGTTTGGGTGATATACAGTACAGACACTTTAGCAGCACCTTGACATTCTAGTCTATAGTTTTCATTCATTTGTATTCTGTACATACTTTATTACACCATTTTTGGCTGATATGACACAGATCTCACAGGTTATATAGATTAACCTCAAAGTCACCAGTAATAGAGCTCCTATTTCATGAACTTTCTACTGAGCAAGAAGGAAAAAAAAGCTGATTTGGTTACACTACATTACAGGGTCCATATTAATATAATTGATTACAATTTGAGAATAATCAGTATGCATAATTACAGGCTTCTCCACAAAATAATTGCATATTAAGAACATTTTTCATTACTGTTGCACACAAAAAAATATAAATCAATTGCCATGCTTCCTATTAGGGCGGGCTGTGCTTTTTTGTATGCCTTTAATTTACATCAGCAAACTGTGAACGTGATTTCGCCAAGTAGGACATTTTCCTGGATTAACATCTTTGTTGTTCCCGTTGTTTTCGACCCCTGCCAAAATATTACCCCCTTAGCATTGATAGGTTTAGGTTTAGGGGTTAGGATTAAGGGGAGGGTTAGGCTTAGGGGCGGGGTTGTCATTAGGGGTGGGGTTAGGATTGGGGGTGGGGGTGGGGTTAGAGGCGGGGTTAGGATTAAGGGGAGGGTTAGGATTAGAGGTGGGGTTAGGCTTAGGGGCAGGGTTGTGATTAAGGGTTGGGATTAGGGGCGGGGTTAGGATTAGGCAATCAGATACTGACTTCAATGAGGAGGTTAATAATTTGGCAGGGGGTCGAAATTCGGCACACCGGAACAACATTCCAATCAACGAATCAGATTTGCGGGACCAGTTTACAGTTAATGTCAAGTTTAAGCTCACAATGAGGGTTTAGTGTGTCTACAGTATTATTCAACCGATCATTTCCCTCTGATTTTAGGGATAAATTAAGGGTTAGGGTTTAGGGTAGGGATATGGTTTGGACTAAATTTTCAGACAGGAATATAACAAATATTCTGATCCAGGAATATGTCTTGCGTGGCAAAATGACCTGGCAAACAAGATAATCTAAAGTCCCCCTGTGGTGAAAATCCCATTTTTATGTTGTTTATATGTCTGTGTCGTGGCAAACCATAGACATATACACTAGACGTCACCTTGCATGCGTCAAAATCGCCGCCATCTTGGAACAGGGGTGTTGTCATCATAGATATCTATATAAAGGCTAGATGTGTCGTCCGCGCTGCTGGCCAATGGAGGTCGACGTCAGCACCTGGCGGCCATCTTGTCACAGGCAGCTCGCTCACTCGTAACATTGTTTTAATGGTGCATGTACTTTTTAAATCACCGTAACTTGCTCAATTTTCTACCGTTTTTCAAACGGTCTGGTTTGTTATAAACGGCAGAGATGTAGTTATGATACTGCATACTTATGAATAATAAGTGTATAAATAAATAATCATCCAGAACTATAGCCACGTTAATAACGTTTGTAAGAAACCAAACCGTTTGTAAATCCGTCAAGATTTCAACGAGATAAGAGTATTTCCAACATCAGATACCACAGAGCCCGCCAGAAAGCCTGCCTGTGACAAGATGGCCGCCGGTGATGACGATAAATACTCCGCCGTGAGACATCTAGCCTTTATTTAGATATCTATGGTTGTCATAGGAAGTAGCTAAGTAACGCTGCTATCTCTGCCTTTACTTCGAATTAATTGATGGTGGCAGACTTTTGTGCTGTGTATGATGTTCACACAAATGAATCTGAACTAGGAACTGTTCCAAGATGGCGGCTCTATTGACGCATTCGTTCTAATGAACTGCCGTAGCCAAGGCGACATCTAGTGTACACATCTATGAATACAAACCATGTGCAAATTCATAAGTCAACACCATTGCTGAGTATTTCCTCCTTAAACCTTGAAAAAAAGAGTCTCTGACGTCACTGACGTCTGACGTCACAAACTACCAAACCAATCACGTCGAAGTACCGGCAGGCTTTTGCATATCGTTAACAGCGAACTAGCAGGGGAGCCTCGAGAGATGCCAGGGTCACCCTGTATATTTTCTGTTGATATGAAAAATTGGGTAGATTTATCAATACGCCTCGTTTGTATATTACGGTGTTATGATGAACTATATGCCTTTCTCCGCTGGTTGTTCAATCCGTTTGTAAGGATGCTGATTTTTAATCATATTAATTACCGTTATGTGTCCGGCGTTGTAAAGAGCGACTTCACTCTGCAGCGTTTACCTCAGTAAATTGGCAGAGTTAATCTCTGAGATGGTGTGAGTGATTGGAGGCATATTCATATATTTTTATGTAATTTTGGCGATCAAAGATGTGTTTTAAGGGATAAGATTATTGACTACAGGGGGACTTTTATATGTCGGCCTATTCTCCTGAAATTGAAAAACTGTTGCCAACTTTTAGGAGTACAAGAGTGTACCTCAAACTAGCCCATAAAGCTAACAGACATGGACTAAAAGCCATATTAGACTAAAAGCCTCAATCTTTAACATGGACACTGTAATGGGAATTGACCATTTTCAGTTGTGTAAGAAAGCATTTTTACCACCATCACAGCTTTCAGCAGAACCACCTTCATTGCTGTAAGAAGACAGGTGAATACAGTCTTGTCTACGACAGAGATCATACATTTTTAAGTCTACCTTATCTACGAACATGTTCCCCGCTATATGCACCGCAGTTGAAGCACTCCAGATGGCAGTCTGTTACTCCACGCCGCCGTGAAGATAAATGAACGTGGTTTTCCCCCAATAGCTCACTCTGGAGAAAGTAATTGATTTTATTTGAAAAGCGTTCTCTTTTCCTCTTTCTTTTTTTTTTCTTGAGGCTGCCCAGCAAAGGATAAATGAGTCTGTGTGGTAGAAGTTTCAAAGTCTTAATTATTTAGTGTTTGCCACTGTGATAGAAAATCATTTCACGTACTGAGCAATGAGTGTCTTAGTATATCGATTGAAACGATGAAGAATAATTCCACTCTAAAGGTATTTTTTGCCTTAATTGTACATTTAACAGTCAGTTGCACCACAAGCTTTAAGTCTTTGCGTTTCATCTCCATCAGGCAGTGATACTGAAGCGGGTTTCCAACACAAGCCTTAAATATGAGCTTGTGTTGTTCGCGAGCAACCCTTGGAGACCAACAACATATTAAACCAAAATGCCAGCGTTGTTTTTTAATGTCACAAAGGGAGAGAGTGCTCTGTCTCTTTGCTGAGAAGGTTAGAGTGGAAATGTGGTTCACATACAGTAACATCTTGTTGGCTCCAGCGTTAAATCCTTTTTCTGCATGTAAAATGTTGCTTTGGTTTGCAATCAACTGAAAAACATGCTAGCTAGGTCTTGGCGATACATTGAATACAGGCAATTTTATTGCAATATCTATTCTGACGGTATAAAATTAGGGAATACTGTGTAGCTATATCTGGAAAATGTTAAAAGTTTCGCTTATAAAGACAGTAAGCCATTTCTTTTTACAACATGTCAAAACAGAATCACATGTATTGGTTGAGCACCAAATATATGTACTTTGTAACCATAGTTATTTTTATAGCTACGGGGGGCACAAAATCACGTTTTAAAATTTTTGGCGAGGAAATGGAAAAATATTGATGCATTTTTAGCCATATCGCCTAGCCCTAGAGACAAACTGGTCTTTTAATCACATCGATATGTATATTGGAGCAAATGGACAGTCATCATCGCCTGGAACGCAAGGGCAAGTGTCTTTTTTTTGCATTAATACATGTTATCGGTTAAAAACGACCACTCCTGCGTGTTTCGTTGCCAGAGAAAGAACCTCATTTTGGCCGCGAGATGTCTCAGAACCTGACGTTGGATCTCTTATTGAGGCACTTCCTAACAAACCGATCAACGCCTTCTGCTCGTCACCAATTGGAAGGACTTTCCCCAAGCTCGCCTGGCTCAGCCAGGGTTACGTTGGCAAGGCATCGCTTGAGTTGGCGATCAAGAGGATATGCAGACTGGTTTGCCGTTCTTGTCGTACTGGTAGACCAGCATCTTGATGCAGTGTGAGTTGGCCGGCGAGATCCATGGGCTGCTGGTGATGGAGAAGTTGTGACTGGCGTAAAAAGGCGGAGGCTGCTTTCTACATCGGAATAACGCCTTTAGCACAGTCCCGGCCATCCTGCGGAAACGCTTGCTGATGAAACAATACAGGAAGAAGTTGACCCCGGTGTTTAGCAGCGCGAGCATGTTTGCCACATCCGTGACCAAGTGCAGCAATCTGGCGGGGCCGGGCGTCGCCGGCTGCGCCGTGTAAAGATGGTAGAGGATCATGAGCGTGCGCGGCGCCCACAGAACGGCGAACACCGAGGTGATTGCCAGCAGGATTGCCGTGGTCTTTCCGGTTGAATATCCGCGAAGCCGGAAGCAGCTACGCCGGCAGCGGAGCTTGCGTACGATGATGGCGTTGAGCGAGAAGAAAACGGAGCAGGGGAGCAGGTAAACTGTGGCGCAGTGAACCCAAACCAACACGTGCTGCCCTGCACTGCTGCTCCGGCCACCGTTACTCGCTCCCGGGAGTCCGTGCCACAGCTCCGGCCACCAGTAGTACGGGATGCTGGAGATCAGGCAGCCGGCGTACACCGTCAAGATCACTTTGCGGGTTCGGGCCGGGTAGGATACGGTGTGGTAGCGCAGCGGATGGCACACGGCGATGTAGCGGTCCACGGTCAGGGGCACCGTGATCCAGATGGAGGTGTGGATGGAGGAGAACTCCAGAACCTGCACGGCTTTGTTGAGCGAGTGAGGCAGAGGCGCTCCCAGAATGAAGTCCTCCAAAAGGAAGTCCACGAACACGATCAGCAGCAGGACCAGGATGTCGGCTACGGCCAGGGCCAACAGGTAGTTGTAGGAAGATTTCTGCCGCCGCAGCACCAGCTGAGAAAGGATGATTACCGTGAGGATGTTTGCTGAGGAGCGTGAGAAGAAGATGGAGGTGGTGTGAAGAGAGAGGGAGGGAGGAGTGGGTGAGAAAGGGATGAAGTCAGGCTTGCAGGATAACAAAAATGCTTCTTTATTAAAGGAGTAGTTCACTTTTGGAAAAACTTTTGCTGATAATTTACTCACCCCCATATCATCCAAGATGTCCATGTCTTTCTTTCCTCAGTCGAAAAGAAATTAAGGTTTTTGATGAAAACATTCCAGGATTTTTCTCCATATAATGGACTTAATGGGAACCAGACGGTCCAAGGTCCAAAAGACAGTTTCAGTGCAAACTGTTCAAATGTCTTTAAACGACACCAGACGATGAATAAGGGTCTTATCGTGCGAAACGATCGGTTATTTCAAAACTTATTCCAAAAATGTAACTTTTCTAAGGACAAATGCTAGCCTTGCTTTATTCTGTGAGGCGCGTTTGTAACGTCGCGTAATACGTAATTACGTTCAAAAGGTCACGGGCGACGTAGCCGGAAGTACAGAATCAAAATCGTCCGACATCGTTGTTTTACCTTTTAATTCCTTTTTTTGTAAACGGCGTTTGAGTTAGTTTTCACGTTCAACCTATGCGTTCAACTTATAAACACTGACTCTGTACTTCTGGCTACATCGCCCGTGACCTTTTGAACGTAATTACGTATTACGTGACGTTGCAAACGCGCCTCACAGAATAGATCAAGGCTAGCATTTGTCCTTAGAAAAGTTACATTTTTGGAATAAGTTTTGAAATAACCGATCGTTTCGCATGATAAGACCCTTATTCATCGTCTGGTGTCGTTTAAAGACATTTGAAGCTGCATCTGAAACTGTTATTAACTGTCTGGTTCCCATTGAAGTCCATTATATGGAGAAAAATCCTGGAATGTTTTCATCAAAAACCTTAATTTCTTTTCGACTGAGGAAAGAAAGACATGGACATCTTGGATGACATGGGGGTGAGTAAATTATCAGCAAAAGTTTTTTCAAAAGTGAACTAATCCTTTAAACATACGAGTGCAAGAATGAATCATACAATATTGCATTGAGATGCACATTCACGTTCACACACGTGCACTCATTCATACACATGCACGTTCAGATGTTGACACACGTGCACACAAATTCACACACGTGAAACATGATTCAATTCGTCCCTGTTCTCCCCGCCTCCCTGTTTAGTTTTCCTCCACAGCTTTCACCTTTGTCTTATTGCGACCTTCTATAAAACCTGAACAAGCAGCCGCAACATGTGCACAATTACATCCAAGCGCTGGTGCAAATGCAATTCTCTGCATCCAGGTCACAATGACCCAGGAGAAAAGACCCAATGATACAGCATCCGCCCCTTCCTCTTCGAACCCTTTCACTGCTCTGCCATCCAAACCTGTATTGTTTGTTGGTCACGCTCAGGCAATGTGAGATGTACGGGTGTAAGAAATGACCAGCGATTGCTATGACCTCTCGCTGTGATGTAAAGAGCGTGCACACAAAAGTGCTGCCTTTGTTCAAGCCAAACACAGGCTTCACTACAATAGACCTCAGGAAACATTCTGGTGTGTTAACCTAAAAAGAAATTCACAGCCAATGTCCTACCTGTCGCCCCACCGTAGCCAATGGACGGTATACTGGATGAAAAACTTCAAAGTGTTTTGCACCCGTCTGCCTGACAGTCGTTCGGGCTGCTAATAAAGATGGCATTGGATTACATATGCCAGTCAGGAGTCTGGAGAATCGCACTGCACAGTTCCACAACATCAGCTGATTACAAATTACAAAGACTCCAGCTTCAAAACTCACACATTTGCATAAACGCCTGCAATCTCAGCCACACAAGCATCCTGTTATAGATGTATCGAAATATTGAGGGACAGACAGAGATGCGTTTCATCGATAATCAAGTTTGAAGAAAAGTTCTCTTTTACCTCTTAAGGAGAAAACGCAAATCTATCTCTCTCACAGTTGATCTCCACGCGCAAATAAAACACTACGCAGTCATTGGAGCACTATTCCCAGAGGAAAATTGTATTGCCCATTTGGAGGCTTAATTAAAGTGTTTTTAGGTGTGTGGTCAGAGGAATAGCACTAGCACACTACTACTATTATTTTTGCAGAGCTAGAATGCTTATTAAATGTGGATTAAACCCCATCCTTTACTCCTTCATTATGGCAAATCCATGAGATCCTTCGTTAATTTGTATTTTATTGATACAAATGACTAAATAAATAATAACTCCTCTTCTCTTGTGTTTACAGCCAGGTTAAATGACGCACAAATGTGATGCTGAATGCTAATTGGCTTTAAAGGAGTAGTTCACTTTTAAAAAATAACTTGCTGATAATTTACTCACCCCCATGTCATCCAAGATGTCCACGTCTTTCTTTCCTCAGTCGAAAAGAAATTAAGGTTTTTGATGAAAACATTACAGGATTTTTCTCCATATAATGGACTTCAATGGGAACCAAACGGTTCAAGGTCCAAAAGACAAAAGACAAAAGAATTCGTTTATCAAAATGAACAAATCTTTTTTCGTGTCATTTGGTTCATTCAACGAACGAAATGAAGTTGACTCGGGAAAAGATTCGTTCATTTTGATGAACGAGTTCGAACAGGAGAGTCACGAATGCGCATCACAGAACAGAGCAAGGCGAGCATTTGAGCTTATAAAACTTAAACTTTGTTTTTTATTTTTTAAATGGCCGATCATTTCGCTTGATAAGACCCTTATTCATCGTCTGGAATCATTTAAAGCCCTTTGAACAGTTTGCACTGAAACTCTCATTTGGACCTTGAACCGTTTGGTTCCCATTGAAGTCCATTATATGGAGAAAATCCTGGAATGTTTTCATCAAAAACCTTAATTTCTTTTCGACTGAGGAAAGAAAGACATGGACATCTTGGATGACATGGGGGTGAGTAAATTATCAGCAAAAGTTTTTTGAAAAGTGAACTACTCCTTTAAATCTCCCTTCTGCCTTTGTTGGACGCATTTTGGAAAGCATACAATGTTGCATTCTTTGAATATGTAGTTTCATTATACGTTAACCTCTAAAATTAATGTTTCCCATTGGTTTACAGACAGGAAGTGAACAGTGCTTGGGAAGCTTTGAAAAACTTTATCGTGTATGCCAAGTTCATAGGGCTGTGTTTGAAATCACCCCCCCTCATTCACTAATCCCTACATTACTGCACTAATATCCTTCACTTGAAGTGAACGAGTGAATGAAAACAGTTGAGTGAATTCAGACACCGAGTCTATACCTGTATGATATTACGCTAAACCCACATTGGACCAGCGGTTTGGAAAATGGATGGATGATTCAGATGCGGGCGCCATCTTCTGGCCGGAAACGGGAATTCATTCGACCCTCACAGTGCATTATGGGTATTGTCTAGCCGTTGAGTGTGCATCGCTTGTACACTCGGTGCATTGTGGGATGGGATTGAATGAGTGCACTGAAAGACTAACACAAGACGCATCGCTCGTATTGTTTTGAATGGGGAAAAGTGCAACGCTCAATATGGCGGAACAAGTCCCGCCTTCTAAATAAGAGCCAATCGCGTCACCGCAGCTGCCGTTAGAAGCTCCACTTCCAAAGCGCATTAGCTTGATCCAGCCTGAAGCGTCGTTTTCTGTCATGATTCGAGCGAAACTAAATTTACGAGACAGTTTTCAGATTTCATTGGGGATTTCAAATCTGAAATTGAATCATAAGCTTGGTGAATTTGATGTTTCCCCATTTAAAGCGATAGGAGATGCACTAGCATGACTGAGAGGCCTTTCAAAGATGTCCACTGAGTGAAAGGACTTGTCTTAAAGTGACTTTGATATGGTTTTGTCCACTACAAATGGCTGTCCCTTCATAGTGCACTGGTCCAATCTAAGGGTATGGGGCAATTTCGGAAACAGTTTAATAATTATTAGTCTTTAATATATTATTATTGTCAAATGATTCAACGCAGTTTTGAATTCTGACTCATCTATATGGTTCAATATTCAAGGCTACAGAACCTTCATCTTTAATGTCTAGAGACGGCCCAGGATTGAACTATAAAATGAATATATATGATGAGTTAATTTGAGTTGAGCAAATCTGAGCACAATTGAGGGCTCTTCTGAAACGTGGGATCTTTTATAAAGAGAAAATCCCGAGATTCAAAAGACATGTCTCCTCTTGATGCCGTTGCTTTGTATGGAAACAATACAGATCTCATTTTAGATTTGTCTTTCTTTTCTACAGGCTACACAAAACAAGCTTTCCGGTGTCAAACTCACTCCTTTTTTCCCTTTTTTTGTGGATCACTAACAGGATAATGAAGGTTATTTTTGTGTCTGTTTCAGTGACAACAGCCTAAAATAAATTTCAACATTTTTTGTCATAGTAATGGATGTTATCTGTGAAACTGAATGACTCACTTCTGACTCGCATGTGTTCATTTAATCCTGACAGTTTGTTTCAGTGAGTCTTTAAGTTATCGGGCCGTGGATCTGTATGTCCTTGGCTGTGTGGATCAGTTTGTCGGTGTGTGTTCATGTGTATCAGAGTGTCACTAAAGCTGCAGTCCAAAATAAAACCCAGATTCACCAAATCCCACTCTCAACTCCCAGTTATACTTTCCTTGTCCGCTTTATTCCTCCTTTATACTCCACTGTCCATTGTCCTTTTGTTTGTGGATTTGGCTTTCTCTGGATTAATCTCTCCGCTGAGAATGTACTTTATTTAGACAAACAAAAGGGATGCACTGCGCCCTGGAGCTCGTACATTTCCTGGCATTTCCATTTAGTTGGTCAACACCGTAAGCATATTGATTTCACTTGAGTCCTGTCTCTATGCAGGTCTCTGAACGCCCAGAACACCAGCAACCAATTTAAATGGCTGTTTGCTTTCAATTCACTTGTGTTTGTGTCAGAATGGAAAACTAGAGTATTGTTTACGCTACATACTTGATTCTGCATGCTTTTCTTTCATTACATAGTATATAGTCTACAGTATTTGGCAGATGTTGTTACACGACCCTTGCAATGTTGGGGGTTACATTCAACAAGTGACTTATTATTTTTTTTTTGCATTTTAAAATTGTCTAAACTTTTGTCAGTTCAAATAAATAATGAGTTCGTAATAATGAAACTGTGCAAAATATGCAAATACTGCAAAAGAAACATTGCTGTTTCATTTGTTTTTCCAGGATACCAGTGTGGCCCACTTGGGATTAAAAAGCTTTTTCGTCGATCGGATTGCAATGCTAAATACAGGTGTAAATAAAGAGTAAATATTATGGGAAGAGCGCTGGAAAGAAGGGATTTAAACTTTGTCAGCTAAACACCCAAGTTTGGTTTAAAGGGGAAATGAAGCAGTCAATCAAGTTTACATGATTTACAAGATGGATTTCCACTATAATCAACAATTATAGAAGAAACATGACAAATGTAAACATATGAAAGAAAAAAAAGGTGAATATGACATGACAAGAATATGATTGCAGATATCGTGAACAATGTTTATGTGCATTTTGTTAACATATAACATTAGACGTCGTCTTTTTGTCTAATGACTGTACCTAACATTAGTCGTCCGTGGTCAAAACACTGGTGTAAACACAGTTTGATATTGCGATATTCGATGCCCAGAGCCTGTTAAACTGAAGCCAACCAACCCCGTGACGTCACCTGCACAATGGCGGCACCCTGGCGGCAAAAGATATAACGTTTTTTCTTTTATATGTTTGTCATGTTTCTTCTGTTGATTATAGTGGAAATCCATCTTGATCGACTGTTTCATTTTCCCTTTAAAGATGAAAAACATCCCAATCATGATGTTCTCTCACCATTCCTGATTTCTAACACACACTTACTGCCCACTGAGCAAATGATGTCCAAAACACGTCTTTTCAACGTCTTTGTCATAAAGTCGGACGTTGAAAAGATGTCCACCGAGGAGTCTTTTTGTAACGTGTTCTGCACGTCCGATATAGACTTTCATCGAACTATCATACAAGTTTAAAAACTAGTTCAAATGTGGCCATTGTGGACATATTTTCAACATAACTTATGGTCTCATTTAGACAATTTATACTGCTCTGGACCAAATAAACACTCTCAGGATGCATTAAATTAAAACTCATGTTTATTTCGATGTAATTTCCTTACATTGTTTAGATGGTGATATTTCATTTTGTCACCATTGTGGTGATCAGTGTTTGCTTTAGTTGGGCTCTTGGTCCCAATAATTCATACATTAGCTTTTCTTTGGCTGTTGTGACTGTGTGTTTGTATAACACCATTGTTGTGGCAGAGAAAGCCAAGAAAAAGTCAAATTGGATGTCAGCAGCTCTTTGCTGATGATGAGAAAAGCATGAATTATTTGGGCCAGTAGCATTAAAATGATCACTTAGGGTTCGGCTGGTCTTGTGGATATCAGAGCAGAAATGAAAACTGCTGTTCTCCGTATGTTTTTTTCTTCGAGTTCATATGTAAAGTGCAAGCTTATTTCGTCCATTAGATCGAAAGATCTGACAAAAACCCTCCCCTCGACGAAATCAGGACAGAAGTGGTTGAAAGTGGACAAAGAGACGGATCAAAACACACAGGAATGTGTCTCCCTCGTCTACCTGTGATCCGATCGATTAAAACGCACCTAGTCTCCTGCTTCTCCGATGTTTGTCCTATGAATGAGATCTCAGTAATCTCACATTCATCTAAAAGTATTTCAGAATAGATCTTAAAGTTGTGTCAAACTGTGCTCAGATTTAACAAGATAAAGTCTGCGATGAACTTTTCCCTCTGGGTTCAGCAACTCTCGGTTTCCAGACTTTCTGGATGGTCATGACCCGAACACAAAAAAAGCTCACAAGCACTTTCCTCATCGAGGCCGTGAGCTCTCAGAGAGCCTTGGATCGTTTACCTAAATTGAAAATCATTGGCTCCACCTCTTAAGTGGCAAATAACACCACCAGGGTAATGTAGAGCCGGCCAGAGGATCGTTACGGTAGATCTGTGACCTTCCAGGATAGTCACTCTCCGGATAAAAACCCTTCATCTTTAATAGAAATCACCAAAACACATCCATCAAGCAGTCCTTCAGTTCAGAAAGGCACGAAATAAGACTAACCGCTTCCAATTAGTGACCTTTATGAGCTTAACCTCCAGCAATCGATCAAACGGGCATGAGCTCATCTCAACACACTCGTATTTCTGTGGTTTGGGGTGTATACAGTACAATCATAAAATGTTCAAGTTTTATTAAACTGTAAATTACAGATTCTCACAAGTTGCCTCTTAGTTCACAGCCATGCAGACCTTGCGTTATTTGAAGAAAATTATTATTTTTTTAAGCAACATGAGCATGTGTGAGGCAGTGTGTCTAATTTAAATAGACTTACACCTGAACGTTGTCTTTGACGTCAATGTCTCTTCCTTGTTAAAAGCTTTTTTTGCCGCTCTAAATATGCAATTATCATTTAGCATATTTTTGTTTCAGATCAGACATGCATCCCACTGCTTTTAGTTTTAAAAAAAACTTTTGCTGATAATTTACTCACCCCGATGTCATCCAAGATGTCCATGTCTTTCTTTCTTCAGTCGAAAGGTTTTTGATGAAAAAATTCCAGGATTTTTCTCCATATAATGGACTTCAATGGGAACCAAACAGTTCAAGGTCCAAAAGAGAGTTTCAGTGCAAACTGCAAACTGTTCAAAGGGCTTTAAACGACACCAGACGACACCATCAAAATGAACGAATCTTTTCCCGAGTCAAATCGTTCATTTCGTTCGTTGAATGAACCAAATGACATGACAAAAACATTTGTTCGTTTTGATAAACGAGTTCAAACGGAAGAGTCACAAACGCGCATCACAGAACAGAGCAAAGCGAGCATTTGAGCTTATAAAACTTAAACTTTGTTATTTATTTATTAAATGAGCGATCGTTTCGCTTGATAAGACCCTTATTCATCGTCTGGAATCGTTTAAAAAGCCCTTTGAACAGTTTGCACTGAAACTCTCTTTTGGACCTTGGACCGTTTGGTTCCCATTGAAGTCCATTATATGGAGAAAATCCTGGAATGTTTTCATCAAAAACCTTAATTTCTTTTCGACTGAAGAAAGAAAGACATGGACATCTTGGATGACACGGGGGTGAGTAAATTATCAGCAAAAGTTTTTTGAAAAGTCAACTACTCATTTGTATGCAATTTTACAATTAACTGGTGATCTACATTTAAAAAAAATAAAAATAAGGATTTCAAAAGCAAAAAGGTGATTAAAAATGATACATTTGCAGCGTCTAAAATGCAAACTTTCCTTCAGACATTATTTTAAAATGTATCATGTTCCTTGATATATAAAATGTTGTTTGTTACTGTAAAAACAACCTCACTCTTCACCCCACCCGTTCTCTGTGTTTTTCTCACTTTCTGTGCTCAGTGCCTTTGAGAGGTTTCTCTTCTTTACCTTCATCATCCACCCAGAATCACTGCCAGGTGTGATGACTTTCACACAGCGCTGAATAAAGACTCTAATCTCGTCTCATCACGCTTCTTGTTTGTCCCACAAACCCGCACCAGAGTCGGAAATTCAAGCCGCTACTTAGCATCCGAGCAACAGGAAGGCTGACTGCCTCCGACAGCAAATGAAAATATTTGTGTAAACTGCTCAGGCTGAGTGCTTCGCTCAAGGGCACAGTGATTTATCTCAATCTGACAAAAGAAATCATTCCGCTGAAACTGTGCCACACGCCACCCGACCTGCGAGGGAAGCCTCGATTAAATGTGCAGCTCACCTGCGAATAATACCAATTGTCATCAATAGGCAATCAACCTCCAATTGTGTATAGGGACAAAACGTAATCTTAAAAAAATTAAACGCCTGAGGCCAATTATTAATATGACGACTACTCAAGATGTTCTTGCTCCCCAGGTCATTCCAGTCCGAGCCGGATCTAATTTCATCATCTGTGGGATAACGGGTATTTCTAAGCTGGTTTATGATTACAAGTCCATGGAAATGATGTGAGACTCTGTATTCACACAGATGACCTTTGGAAACCTGTTTTCCCACAGTTCTGACGTCCCACAAGGTTACGTTACAAGGATGTACTTATCAAGATTGAGTGGGAAAAAAAAATTCAACTCGGCCACAAATGTGATTGTGAAGATGTATCCAAAAGCATGCGGATTGTGCACTAAGCAATCTCCGTGAAAAACTGTATTGATGGATTGCAAATGTGGATGTCTCTCACCCCTCACAAAGCCATGCATTAAACAACGAGACTTTGAGGAAGTATTGATCGCCCACAAATGTGAACATAGCATGCACTCACAGCATGCACTTCATAAACACATGCACACTAATGATCTTACCGGGCAGGCCGAGGCACAGCAACGAACTGTAGTAGATGATGGGGAACTGTCCGAGAGGGCAACCGCGAGGACTCCAAGAGCTGGAGTTGGTGGACAGTACGGTGAAGATGTGGCTGTGCTCCATGGCAAGCTCCACGAACCACAGCCGGACCGCAGGACGAGCTGAGGGAGAGCCGGCTGGCACGTGTGAGGGTCGGAGAACGACTGCGAGTGTGTGCGCGTGGACGAGAGGAGATGAAGTCGGGCGATGTGATGGGAAGAGAGGCAGGGATGTGAGGAAGAGTGTGTGTGTGAGGTGAGAGAGAGAGAGAGAGAGAGGGAGAGGACGGGGGGTGTTAGAGCTGGTGAACGCAAAAAAGGTGAAAATAAGTGACGAGAAAGGAGGGGGGTGTGAAGGAGAAGAACACTGGAAGAGCGAGAGGCGTGAAGAGACGATTGGTGTCGACACCAGCGAGAAGTGACACACTCGTGCGGATGAAGGGCGACCCGCGAGTAAATAAGAGCTGTAGCATGACTCGGCTAGTTCACACCACAGTGATGCTTAGCATTCGGGCAGTTTGTCATTATGTTGGGGAAAATTAAAAGCTAGATGTTTTTGTTAATAAATATTAGTTAACAAAAATTATGATAATACGTATCATTATTATTATTATTAGGAATCTTCCGATATCTCTTTCCGAAACGTGTAAAATACGTTTAGTATTTGCAAATACCGGTATTTTTGATACCGTATCGGAACCATAAAAAGACTTTATTTTGTTTATTAAATAGATGATTTTCATGCTTAATTGTGCCTCCTAAAACGTATTATACAAGCTTCTGTTCATTTAATTGTTGTGTTGTATTTTGCATTTTATTAAAGGGGTCATGGCATGGATTTTGGTTCTTAAGGTTCACTTATAATGTAGTTTTAAAGGGGTGATGAAGTGAGAAATCAAATTTTCCTTGAGCTTTTGACATCTAAGAGGTCATCATATTATAAGAATATCCTGTAAGTTTCAGAGCTGAAAACGTCCTTGTTAGTCCAATAAAAGCTTTTTTTGACACCAGTCTTAGCAAACCACTCGTTTTTCAAAGTGGGGAACTGTGGCGTCAAAGAGGATAAAACCATAGATATGTATATAAAGGCTAGACGTGTTACGGCGGAGTTTCCATCGTCATCACCGGCGGCCATCTTGTCACAGACAAGCTGATAAGATGAGTGTTCCGCACGGACTCAAATACTCTTATCTCGTTGAAATCTTGACGGATTTACAAACGGTTTGGTTTCTTACAAACGTTATTAACGTGGCTATAATTATCTGGATGATTTTTTATTTATACACTTTTTATTCATAAGTATGAAGTGTCATAGCTACATCTCTGACGTTTATAACAAACCAAACCGTTTGAAAATCGGTAGAAAATTGAGCAAGTTATGGTTATTTAAATAGTACATGTACCATTAACACAATGTTACGAGTGAGCGAGCTGCCTGTGACAAGATGGCTGCCAGTTGCAGACGACGACCTCCATTGGCCAGCAGCGTGGACGACAAATCTAGCCTTTATATACATATCTATGGATAAAACCACCCCCCGCAGAAGAATATCAACGCCTACTACATTTTTTTAGCCCCGCCCACCGATTCGCGTGTTACACGCATAGCTAAATAACATAGATGCCTACCTCGTGATGACAAACCGGGTCGAGAGTGAAACTCATTATAATATGCAAAACTGTTATCCACTCACAGCAGTGGGCGTCTACTTTCAAGTCTTCAATGCGAGACGCCCATAAAAACCGAGCGTTTCTGAGCTAGGCTCAAAGCTAGGGTAGAAAATAGCCTATTACTTATTCATTTTGATGTTTTTTAATGTAAAAACCAAGCGAACGTCATAAGTTGACCTCAGACAACAATATAAAAAATTTAAAAAGCCAGTTCATGACCCCTTTAGGCTTGTTATGATTAGGCTAACATCATTGCATAGGAAACCGTATCAACGGCCACTCAATATTGCACTCCAGTAAGTGTTTTGAAAACATTATCCATATAAAATTGTCTTTTACAGATAACGCATTATGAAATCATTTACTGTTTGTGTCAGATTCAACACAGCTTCATCTGCTTCAAGGTTTCTTTGCAAAAGTTCTATTACACTGTGCCTTTTTTACAAAATAAAATGCTCCGAACCAACATAAAATCATCCGATGCGATCCAGGACGCCATCCCATTGTTCCTGATTTTGAGATCCTTCTGAAGTCACGACAGAAATGAGTAAATGTGCTGTTTAAATAGGACATGTCAAAATGAAAGTTTGTTAACTCTTACAGTTACTCTTCCATCCATTGTAGACAGCGTCAGTGATTTATAATGTTTTTTTTTTTTTTTTTAAGCGATGCTCACATCCAGTGTAGGAAAACGCCAGCCGTTAAGTGACTTAACTCCAGTGGGCGGGGCTTATGATGCGATGCTGTTAAACTATTCGTCGATGTCTTGCTCAGGAGGCAGTCATATGCAAATTAATTTGCCCATGTGGCGTCACAAATCCCTCAATATCACAATGAGACGTTTATGGAGCTTGATTAAATAAATGCTTTGTTTATGAGGAGGATGTTTTAAGCTACGAAACTTGCAGGATGTTTTCATGGCATAAAGACTTCTTATATGTCAAAAGATCAAGGCAAATTTGATTTCTCATTTCATGAGCCCTTTAAATGGCAGTGCCGATGAGAGCTGCCACAGTGCCGAGTTACTGTAATCGCATGGCATTTTCCTGTAATAGGGGTAATTAAATTATTCATCCAAATTAGATTTGTTTTATTATTTTGCTTGGTTTAACAAAAACGTTACAATAAAGCAATATTGAATAATAATAGAAATTTGTGCCCATGTGAACATATATTGTGAAATATATCTATATAATATATAATGTTATGAATATGAAGAAAGAACAAGTTAAAATGTTCAAAACCAATATAAACGAGCAACCTTCGTGCAGCACAAAACCTAAACGTGAGCTCAAAGCAAAAACACGGCACATTAATTTCCTATCATTAATTTTGCATATAATCATTTAGACACTAGTCAAATGCAGCGGTGATTAAATTTGTGTGACAGTGATGAAAAGCACATGCTCACCATTGCTGTGGGTCACAGAGTGCATTTCTCCAGCACCTGTTTACTTTGCATACTTGATCAGTCATATGTGTGATGTGGAAGGGAAAAGGCTGATTTTCTCTATATGCCGTTCTTCTCATAAAGTCATTTTCCCAGTAAATGAGTGTGAAGGGATGGAGAGAACACGGTCCGTTTAATAAAATATAGCTCAGTGACGCGCATTGATTACCGAGAGCGACAGGATGGCAGGTCTTTCCTCATGTTCACACACAGGCCTGAGGCTAAATGGAGCAAATACTGCTCAGTGATCTACTTTACTGATACTCACTGCTTCTTAGACGGCAGAAGAACTGATCTTTAAAGACAACGAGTTTATTTGTTAAATATCGATTAGAATATTAATCAGATGAGATGAAGCTTCACTATTATCACGGCACAAGTTAATTACAGAAAGACATCTCTAACAGCATTATCCATCAGCCCGGCTCTTAGCGACAGACCGTATTAATAATGAATCGCAGCCTGGTATGCATAACTGTTAAATTAGATGTTTGATTTTTGTGAAGGGTTCTAGGAGTTCACGCATGCCTTTTCATTTGTCATGCTCTCGCTCTCGTTTAAGAAAAAGGTGGGTGTTGACAAGATTGAATATAAGAAATCTTAATTAGAATTCCTACAGGTAAAAAAAAAAATAACAAAAAAATGGGAGAATGTGAAATAGACAATGAGGAGAATAGCACCACACACTTGATACTGAGTTAAAGTAGTGTGAAGATCAGATGAGCGAAGACTTTCTCACTCAATATTGGGCGAGAAATCGACCAAGACACGTCTAATCCTGTCAGAAATCAGAATCACAGTGATACTCGAAACCTTGAACTGCCCATTAGTTAGTTGTGCCAAAAGGTATGGCATTCAATTACACTGCAAATGTTCTTTAGCCAAATAAAAAAATCTATGATTTTTGTGCCCCTCTTTGTTTGCACCCCGAATCGAAGCGTTATGTTGCATGTTGATGTCCATTCGAAAGAGAGATATGCTAATCATGGTTTTAGTTGTCTCAGGAGGCGTTTGTATATTGGTCATATTTCAGATAACATATTTTAATGAAAATTTTGTATCATCACATCTGTGTGCGTTTACCTTTAAGACCGGATTGCCATTAAGCCGGGCAAACGCGTCTGCATCATTTTGATCGGTGTCGGCTTTTTATTCCACGTTTTAATCTGCTATAGAGCCTGAGAAATTAAGATTTTAGTAGGCTTTGACTAATTTTTACTAATATTTTAAAGGGATTCTTCACCGAAAATGACAATTCTGTCATAATTCGTAAATTAGTATGTCATAGTATTTTTTTCTCTCTATACTCAATGGTGCCCCATCAACTGTTTGCTAATGCTAACCCATATTCCTTTGAGTTCAGTAGAAGACAGAAATGTATACAGGTTTGGAACAACATGAGGGTGAGTTAATGACCGATTTTTAATTTATGAGTGAACTATCCCTTTAAGAAGAAACCCGCGCGCTACGGCCTTTCGTCACGCCCATTACCAACCAGAAGAGCTGATTAACTCACGTGATCTGACAGTAAAGAGAGCGATCCGCAGAATCGCTCGCGATTTAAAAACAAACAACGACCGATTCTGAGCAGCCGATTGACCCTCTTCCTGGTCTTACGTTTAATTCAGGTAACCACCATCTCACCTATCTATGTTTAAATGTAGATATATCTAAAGGACGAATCAAAAACGTGAAGTCCTGACGAGAGGGTGGCCTATTCACTAATTAAATATCATTTATTCGATGATTCACTCATGTAAGCTATACACTTACATTTTGAGATTGTCATATGTTCTTTCTTTGTTAAATTTCTTTATAGTTTATTGCAATAAGAAAAAGTAAAAAAAAGAAAGCTATACACTTACAAAACATGCTAACGCTAAAATGCCACCACTGCTATTTATTTTTACTACAACAAAAAATATAAATATATAAAACTATAAAATACATGATAGAGTGATTCAGACAGTTTAATACTGTAAGGAAGTGTGATTATTTAATAAATTAATATTATTATATTCTATGTTCAGTATAATGACTACACCATGGCATGTTATTTAATTGAAATTTATATAATGCACTGTCTAAAGCAAATTTGTCTTG